CCACAGCACAGACATCCCTGGCAGCTCTGTGCAAACCTGGCCTGATCTGAAGCCCAGGGAGTGCCTCTGTTATCTTGGAACAGTCCACACTCCAGGCTGTCCATAAACTGCATTTATTGGTGTTGATCAGTGGGTTATATTGGGAAAGGAAGGTGTAGAAACCATTGGGGTTTGGCTGATGCCAGGCAGGGCAGTTGCAGGTGGTTGATGGAAATGGCTTTGTGCCCCAAAGAACAGGTGAGAGGTGTTAATTGAGTGATAGAGTGGATCTTGTTAAATCACTGGGCAGGAAGAGGTGGTTTGTAAGTGTTAGCTGCCACTTTGTGGCCTCTCTCCCGTGCTCCAGGAGTGTTTGCTGTGATTCCAGGTGATTTTTCTGCTGAGGGATCACGAGGCAGTAAATGCTGGGATATCCCTTTTCTGTTACTGAGACAGACAATAAACATCCTAATCTCACTGGCTGCTCTGAAGAGTGGATTTACAGCTGTGTGCTGAGCAGAAAACAAACGACCAGAGGATTCAAAGCAGGCTCTGCAGCAGGCAAACATGTGCTGGAGCAGAGCTGGGCTTTTATGCTTTTTGTCTTTTGAATTTGGCTGACTTGATTAATCCAGCCTGATGTGTGCCACGCTGTTCAGCAGAAACTCAGCCCTGCTCCCCTTCTCAGCCTTCCTTTGTTTTGGGAGTTTCTTACATAAACCAGGAACTGCAAAGATTCAGGTGAAAAGATGTTCTCTGTAAATGCATTTGTTTTGTGGGTTTCCTTTGCAGGTTCTCATGTTTGCAGACTTGGGCTTTATGCAGAATAAAGATCTGGGGCCCAATAAAGGTGGTGGTGGTCACAGTGGAGGAGTTGTGTCACCTCTGCACCCACCCAGATCCTGTGTCCCTGGAGGATGTTGGGAGTTGTTTTATGCAGAGACTGGTGTCAGTCATCAGCTCCTCAGTCTGTTCTGAAGTAAGAAAAGATGTCCTGAACTAGAAGAGACCCCCAAGGATCACCCAGCCCAGCTCCCAGCCCTGCACAGACCCCCCAACAATCCCAGCCTGGGCATCCCTGGCAGCTCCTGCAGCTCTGGCAGCCTCGGGGCCGTGCCCATTCCCTGGGGAGCCTGGGCAGTGCCAGCACCCTCTGGGGGAAGAACCTTTCCTGATCTCCACCTAAACCTCTCCCTTCATGCCTGAGCCCTGGACCAAGGACAGAGGAAACCCCTTTTTTTCCCCCTGTTGAAGGCCAAGAACATTTCTCAATGAGACCTCAACAAGGTCCTTAAATTAAGCCCAGTGCTGAACATGGGGAGTTTTTCCAAAGCCTTCTCAGACTTGGAGAGTTTTGTGAGCGTGATTTAATGGAACATATTCAAGCATGATTTAATGGGACATAAAATGCCTCTTTGATATCCCATTGATCTAAAGGAGAGACAAAACTGTAAGGTGGCTCTTTCTTTGCACTACTGATTCATGATATTTTGATATAAATCCTACAAGCAGGTGCCAGCCTAGGCTTAATTGGAGAGAGCAGGATTTAGTGGGGCAAAATGTAATTGTGTAACCTGCACTAATTTGTTTCCAGATGTTGGCAGGTGCTCTGTGCTGGGCCAGGGAGGTGTTTCCCACCTGGCAGGGCAGGGGTGGGGAGGGACCCCCTGCAGCCTCCCTCAGGTTTCTCCAGTCAGGCCCTGTTGCAAACTGGCCCAGTGCCTCTGTCCTGCAGATGTGACAGGACATTGCCTTGGGGCCACCTGCAGATGTGCATGAGGCTGAAGAGGAGCTGCTCCACGGGCAGGGAGAGCTTTGTGAGACAGCTTTTGGTACTGATGGAATGATGAATGTGGCTAAATTCAACATAAAATGATGGCCTTTAGCTGGGTAGCTAATCACTGACACTGCAATGTATCGTGGTCTAAATACAAACCCTTGTTTTTAATTTAAATGTAGAAGTTTTTAAGTGTAGGGAGTGTTCCCCTGAGCATTCGGTGTCCCAGAACAAGACTTGCTTTGGGCTGGCCAGATACAAGCATGAGCTGGGTGTTAGAAATAAAACCTGAGATTCACAGAATCCCAAGTGCTTTGGGTTGCAGGGACCTTAAAGCCCATCTTGTCCCATGGCAGGGACACCTTCCACTGTCCCAGGCTGCTCCAACCCCAATGTCCAACCTGGCCTTGGGCACTGCCAGGGATCCAGGGGCAGCCACAGCTGCTCTGGGCACCCTGTGCCAGGGCCTGCCCACCCTCACAGGAACGATTCCTGCCCATTATGACTCTCTTTGAGCTTAAAAACTATTTCCCCTTATCCTATCACTGCTTGTCCTTGCAGAAATTCCCTCTCCAGCTTTCCCATAGGCCCCTTTTAGGCACTGGAAGGGGCTCTAATGTCTCACTGAATTTTGAAGTATTTTGGCCTGGGATCTGAATTCCAAAGGCCTTGGCTGGCAGCCCACCAAGGGCTGAGGGGGATAACTGTGGGTGTCAGGAGCCTCAGGTGAGGTTTGGTTCATTGCTTGGGACCCTCCCTGAGCCCCTGGAGCTCCTGCTGGGGCCAGGGCTCGGTGCTGGATTCTCTGTGCTGTTCCTCAGGGTTGTCATTGAAGTTCTGAAGGCAGCTGGGATTTCCCATCTGGTACCTACCCACCATTGCAGAAAAGGCAGCTTCTCAGGTGGCCAGGGTGTTGCTGGGGGTGCAGGAGGGTGCAGGTGAGGAGGGAGGTGTGGGGGCTGCAGGGTTGGGCTTCTGAGCTGCTGACTCCCTGCTCTGAGTGTTCCCAGAACAAAGCAGTGACACCTGTGCCTCTGCCTGCACATGGCTGAAGGATAGAGCATCCAGATCGGCCTTTTTTCTATGAAAAATGTTGGAAAGAAAAAACCCAAACCACCCAACAACACAAACCCCACCACTCCCCACTCTCACCATTCCTGCTGTTTCCTGCAGCTTCTCCCTGGCCTTTGCAGTGACGTTTGAGCTCAAGTGTTGCTCTTCCCTTTTCCCCTCCCTGCCCCAGGACAGCCCAGCTGTTCCAGGTGTTTTCCTGCACACTTGCAGGGATATTTGCTGGTTTGTCCACTGGAAGAAGCCTCATGGAGCTGCAGGCTGTGGCAGAGCTTTGCTCACCCACAGCTTTTGGCACCAGCACTGAAGTGACCCTGTGTGAGGATCACAACAAACTCGATGTTGATTTGGTTTAAAATTGCTGCCCTGCAGCCCTGTGTGGAGGCCAAAGGCAGCAGAGCAGGGTGTTTGTGCAAAGCCTCTCCTGCCTGTGCAGCTTTGTGCCCCAGCAATGTGGCTTGGCCTTTCCCACTCCTGGCTCCCAGGCTCATCTCCTCTCCCTGGGTCTTTGTCTGCCTGTCCTCGGAGGCTGGGGAGGGAGAGCCTTGGTGCAGGGAGAATGCCAATGAGCAGGAGATGAACCTCAAAGAGCTGGGTTTGGATTTGCCTCCAAAGCTCTTTGATCACAAGCCGAGCTCTTTATCCCCTGCAGCATTCCTGGGGGAAGGCTGCCCAGAGGTGAACAATGATTAAAAGGAAACTCTCCTGCTCCTGTGACAAGCTTGACTTCATTGGAGCAGGTATCAACATCTACCAAAAGCTGTTTTTAATGTCTGAGTCAGTTTAGTTTGGCTTTCCTGGCAGGATTTCAGGGTCACTTGTCACTTTGCCCCATCATGACCATTCTTTCATTCATTTTAGAGAAAGATTTTCCCCTTGGAAGATCCTTTTCAGTGTCCCTTCTGTCGAGCTCTTGGCTTGCTGTAGGGTAGACAATAATTAAATCAAGAAACACAACCATGTTTTCACCCAGCAAACTTGTTTAACTAAAGAAGATTCATAAAGAAAACTATTTCTGTGGAAATCTTTGTCTTCCAAGTCTCATCTGGAGTCTGAGGAACGCTTCTGTTGCCTGAGAAACACCCAGGACAATGAAATGCAGAGGCATTGCTGGGGAGTCGAGGAGCTCTGGGATGTCACTGCCTTTGGTCTTTCTCTGCTTGTCTGGCAGGGTTTGCTCTGTGCACATTCATTGTAATTCTGGGAACTCTGCTCGTGTTCTGTGGCTGATCTGTCATGGATGTGGGGGGGGGGCTCCTGCCATCCTTACCCCACATGTTGGGGGGGAAGCTGGAGAGTTGAATTAAACTGTTGGAAGTGATTTAAGATCTCCTGTTTGCTTTCCACAGTTGCTCTGTTAAGAGTTGAGATGAAACATTGCAGGGAAACAACATCTGTGTCCCTGGACAGCTGGGGTCACCTGGAACACCCCTTCCCTCAGAGCTGCCCCAGCCCTGCTCCATGGCTGTCCCCTCTCTCCAGCTCTGGAGTGTCCATGGAACATGGACCTGCTGCTTGCCAGGGCTGGGAACCTGGGAGCTCCTGCTTTTGTCCTGCTCTGAAGTCTGTGTGAGCAGAGACCCGGCCCCAAACCCTGCCCGAGCTAAGGAATGATCCCTGAAACCAGGGGGGTGGTCACAAGGGTTTGGGTTTAACCATCCTGGCTGTGGAGTGCAGAGACACCGGGTCACAACACTGCTTCAGAGGCAGGGATTGCTCAGAGGTATCTGCTGAGAGAGCAAAAACATTTATTGAGACTATTTAACCAAGGCTCATTTTATGTTCATTTCTTTCCAAAGCAAATGGGAAGAAAATTCCCAAGTGCTGTTTAAGAACAAGGCTCATTTCTGAGCACCTGTAAATCTTGGCCAGTGGGACTGAGGAGTTTCCCTTGAACTGCTAGAGGCATTTGCTGTGTTCTGGAGGCCACTCTTGCTCATCTGCCACACAGAGTGAGGCACCACAGGGTGAGGTGAGCTCTGGGTGTGCTCTCTGAGCCCGGGGTTGCTCTGCTTTGCTGTTTTCTCTTCCCAGCAGCAGCGATTCAAGGATGGATTTGCAGGCAGTGCACAGCTGAGAGGTGACAGCCCTGTGGATTTTCCATGTGTGTGGCTGGATGTGCTGCCCCGAGAGCTCTGCTGACCTCAGTCTCTCTCTGCCCTTGGTGTTGCAGGTGCAAAGAGCTGAAATACGGGAAGGACCTGCCCCAGATCTCCATCATCTTCATCTTTGTGAACGAGGCGCTGTCGGTGATCCTGCGCTCGGTGCACAGCGCTGTGAACCACACCCCTGCCCCCCTGCTCAAGGAGATCATCCTGGTGGATGACAACAGCGACGAGGGTGAGCAGCACTGGCAGCCCCAGCTCCAGCAGGAGGGGCTGGATTGCTGGGAATCTCCTGGAGGGGTCTTGGGACAGGGGTACGTGGGGTAAGGGGGTGGGTGTGCTGCTGGCACAGAGTTCTCTGCAGCTTCTCTGGTGAGGAGCAGGATCAAACCACAGTTACAGCTGAGAGAGTTGTTGTTTGAAAATGTAGCTGAGAGCTGGAAGGAAAGCAGAGAGCCATCTGACCTCTCCCTTCAATACCATCCAGGAGCTCTGGTTTCAGGGTATCCTTGTTTCTAATAATAACACTTCAGTTGTTGCAGAGATGCACTTCTCAGTATTTGCCAGGATAAGAGCCTGGAGCCCAGAGGGGTTTCTGTTCTGGCACCTCCCAGGGGTGTTAACTGAGATGTTTCCTCTGTGTGTGCCTTGGTTTCCCTGTTGTAAAATACCATCCCAGGCCTTATAGATGGCTGCTGCTCTGCAGAGACCTTTGTTTCTGGAGTTCTGGTTTTAGAACAGGAAAAAGGAAGAGGAGGAAATAATCCCAGCCTACCTGTCCAGGTCAGGCCCTGCCACAACCTGGAGGGGATGTTTGGTTTCTCACATTACACATGAGTGTCCTTTGGTTCCACCTGCTCTCAGTCACTGTTGTCATTCCTTCTCTTCTGGCTTTTGATAACACAGAACTGCAGGAAGCATTTTCAGACTCAACTTCTTCCAAGGTCTTTTTTTCTCCCAATATCCACTTGGACAATGTAATCAGGGCAGTTAAAATCCTCGTGAAGGACAGCAAAGAGTTAAGTGACTTTGTTTATTGCCTTCTTCAGTTGTGCTGCGTTTTCATCCTTTCAATGTTATTTGAAAAAAATTAATCAAGGAGTGCCGTGGATGCTGTGATTGGAGGGAAGAGCAGGGCAGGGTGCAGGATGTGGAGAGCTCATTTCCAGAGGGAGCTGAGAGGTTCTCTGTCTGTGAGGAGAGGAGCTGGTGCACAGAGCTGTTCAGACTGTAAAAATAGGCACTCAAACAACACAGTAATGAGCACCACAGAAAGATGATGACTTCTAATTGCCAGTAAAAGAATCAGAGGGCAGCTCCTCAGCTGGTGGGAATCACAGCAGCTCCAGCTTGGATGGTGTCCACGGTGAAGCTGTGGGAATTCAGAGCTGGAGCCACTTGGCTGGTGAAAGGGAAGTGCAGGTGAGCTTCTGCTGGGGCATCTCACAGTGCCCAGGATTTGGAGGACTTGAAATACCAGCATGAGAGGCTCCTTCTCCAAATTTTATCCTATTAATGGGGCAAAGAGAAGAACTCTTTCAAAGAGAAGCCACTGGTGATAATCACTGAGCTTCTCGCCTCGTTGCTGTGCACAAAGGATGTGTTTCTGAACAGCCTCTTCCCCATTCAGTGTGAGGCTGGTGCTGAGCCAGGTGCTCTGGAGACACTGGAAAGGCACAGGACAGTGAAACAAATCCTTCCCAAAGCATCTGCCTCTTGCACAGGCCAGGGCTGCACCTGGCAGTGAGGGTGAGGATGGAATCCCTGTACCCACCGTGGGATTGCAGGGCACCACTGGGGTTTGCCCCTGCTGGGCTGGGGGATGGCAGGGCAGCCAGAGGGGTGCCCAAAGCTTGGACTGTGTTCAAGCACTTCCAGCTCTGGGGTTTCACAGAACCCCAGAAAGGTTTGGGCTGGAAGGGATCTCAAAGCCCATCCAGTGCCATGGGCAGGGACACCTTCCACTGTCCCAGACTGCTCCAAGCCCTGTCCAGCCTGGCCTGGGACACTGCCAGGGTTGTGTTGGAGTGTTGTACAGCATCAGGGAGGGAGAGGCAGGGAGATGAACCCAAACCCATCCCACCCCGAGGGTGCTTTGCTTGGAATCAGGAGTGTCCAGAGTCCCTCATGGTGGCCCAGGGCTGTGCTGAGGGTTGAACATCCCTGAGTTGTGTCCTCAGAAACATTGGGATGGAGGTACACAAGGAGAGTGGGGTGAGGACTGAGGTGATTCCATCAGCTGGGAAGGTGAGTTGTTAATGCCAGTGTTCTGCTGCTGAGGCTTTGCAGGCCTCATAACAAATGAGATTTTTAAGGAGGGATTTGAAGGAAGATAATGAGGTAACTTGGCAGATGTTTATGAAGAGCTCCTCCCAAGCGTGTAATAATCTACTTTTCTCATGTAAAAGAAATGATACAAGCCAGAACGCATCTCTGGGACCATGTGCTCCCTCTCAGCATCCTCGAGGAGCTGCAGTGACAGCCAGGAATTATTAATGGCAATAACATTGTCACACAGTTCCCACTAATGGTAGGCAATAATTTAGAGCAGCAATAGCAACATCACAGAGTTGATGCTTTGGATATTACAAACAAAGTCATCATAATAAATAGATTTGGCTTCTACAGGAAAATAATTACAGGAAAATAGTTCCTCATGAGCTCTCAGATTTAGAGATGAATCCTGGAGGATCAAGCAGAGGATGGGGCTGTGTGGGTGTGACTTTGGAGGCTGTGATTGAACAAGAAGGAATTTCTTCAGCCTCTGTGGGAGTGAGGGACAATTTCTGTGGGGATGTGGCTGTAGCCCAGGAAAAGCCTTTGGGGGCTCAGCTGTGTCACCCGAGAGAAGGCTGACTGCAGGGAGCAGTGCCCGAGCCCAGAGCTGTCCCCTGGGTTACCAGGAGCAGTTTTGGGGAAGGTGCTGAAGGCTCGGGACAGTCCCTGGCTGGATTTTGGGTGAGTTTTGTCAGGAGGGAAGAGGAACCACAGCAAATCTGGGTAACTGGAGAACAAAGCACCAAATATTAACAGATTTTCAAATCAAGTTTTAAGATTAGCCCCAGGGGTAGAGGCAAGAGCCACCTGCCCTGCCCAGCTGGCTCTGTGCCCTCCAGGTAGAGCTGTGGCAGCCAGGAGCAGAGCCTGGTGCTGGTGTGAGGTTTTCAGGCTGGAACAAAGAGCTTCTGAAACCTCATTAGACGCTCCCCGCTCTCAGCTTTGTTGTACAACAGCACGGCACAAGACAAAAGTGTGCAGTGAGAGATTAAAGTTAATGAACACCGGCATTCTGATGCTTTATGTCTGAGCTGTAAATAGATAAAAGATGCCAATGTATTGTAACGGGAAAAAAAAAAATCCCTCCTTGAAGGAGAAAGCTTGGGGAGTTGTAGTTTGAACCCCCTTCTCCCTTGAGCTGCACATTACACTTCATAAAGACTCTTTTGGAGGCTGCTTTTGTTTGTGCTTGTTGCAGGGCTGTCATTGCAAAGGCAGTGTGCAGGTTGTGTTCGGGAGTGATAACGAGGTTCCCAGGCTGCTGCAGGATGCAGCCACGTGCCCCTGCGATGCTGTGTTATCTCAGCTGCACACTTTGTCTCAGCCTGTTGCTTAATCATCACCTGCTTTTATTCTTTTTAGTTGTTGTTGTGGCTTTTAGCGTTTTTAATCTGGGATAACATCTCTTTGAAAAGCAAACCTCTCGGAATAAAGGAAACCCTTTGGATAAAAGGCTGCATAAAGGAGCTGGCTACACCGGGGCAGACATGCTCAGGGTTGTAATTTGCCTCGGCGTTGCAAATTCCTGGGACTCGAGGGATCCCCTGCTTGTTTTGCTCATTCCAGCAGCAGCAGTGCCCGTGCCTCGCTCTCCTGGGAGCTGGCTGGGTGTTTGTGCTCAGAGGGGAATTGCAAGGAGCTGAGCCACATCCCAGCCTTTCCCAGTGCTGAATATTCCAGCCTGAGGATGGGTGGGTGTTTAATTGGAGCTGGGCTGTCCCACTGGCGCTCAACTCCGAGGCTTTTGGGGCTCTGTGGGGAAAAGCAGCACAGGGTGAGCTTGTTGGGACATCTGTGCAGGACAGGAGTTGGGATCCAGGATCCTTGTGGGTCCCTTCTGAGAGCAATGCAGGATTTATCTTTACAAACAAGCTGTGGATCTGCTGGTAGATAAAACCAGCACTGAGAGATAAAAGAAACAATGGGAAGGATTCCACTGATTGATGAATGGAAAAAGATATTTGCCTTTACAAACAAACTGTAGGTTTGCTGATAAATGAAATTGGATATTGAAAGATGAAAGAAGCAATGGGGAAAAAACCACGAATTCCATAAGAATTAAAAATTAAAAGGGAGGGTTGTACATTAGAGGGGAATCTCAGGTATCAGGTGTTCTGGGAAGTCTGTGCCTCACAAGTACCTCAGCCAATGGGGAAAGAGAGAGGGAAATGTGGATGGGAAATTGGGATAAAAAGGGAGGCTGCATCCTCCAAAAATTTGAGAAATCCTAGGGAAATGTCCCATGGCCTCCCCCTTTATTCAAGTAAAGTAAAAGGACTTCTCTCCTCTCTGACATAAATCTCTGGTGTTTGTGGATTAATTTTCCTGACACTTCCAGCTCAGAGTGTTCTGTGATTCTTTTGCTTTTGCTGAACCAGATGACCAGAGGCTTGAGCTGCATGCCCTGACTGGGACCAGCTTTCCCTGTGAGAACTGATTCACCCCCTGCTCCCCATGTCACAGTTTCCTCTTGTCCAGCTGCAGGTCAGAAGCTTCAGAGACTCCCCTGGCTCCGAGTCTCCCTGAAAAATGTTCACATTTCTTTACTGCCTGTTGAAGGAGCTGTTTTAATGATTTCTCACAGAAATTCCAGCCCTGGTGACTTTGGAGTTTCAGGCAGGTGAGAATGTGGGACAAGGATGGCTGGGGTCTCCCATGGCACTGGAGCACTGCCAGCCCTGACCCCTGCAGTGTTTCTGATATCACCTTGGTCTCTGTAGGCTTTTCCCACCCATCTGAGCCTGGCACACACAAGGATGTTTTCCTTAGGGGTGTGGAAGAGGTGTGGTCCTTTCCCAGGGACCACCTGGCCAGTGCTGCACAAAGAATTCCCTGCTCTTGGTGATTCCTTCCATTTCTCTGGTGCTGCTGCTCTTTGCTCCTTTCTCTGTGTGGCTACAGCCAGCTCCCACCTTTAGTTCTGGGGGCTACCACGGGATGTGGAGAGGTTTGGGCAGGATTTGGGGTGGGGAAGGAGCAGTGGATTTCTGTGCTTGCAGTTGGGCTGATGTCTGTGGTGGGGTTACTTTCCTTGGCATCAGATGGTTCCATTTCCCTGGCAGTCCCATTTCCCAGCTCGTGTAGGTGACAAAATAGTTTATAATAGGTAACATAAGTCATTGCAGCTGGGATTTTTAATGGAGCACCAGGTCCACTGAATTCAAGTTCCTTGGACTTGCCCTTCAGAGAAGATCAATAGGGACAGATGGAGAACAAAAGGCAGGATTGAAATGGAACCTTTTGGTATTTTCAGGAGCGTTTCTCTCTGCAAATCTTACCAGGAAGCAGCTCATGAAACAGCAGAGATTAAACCCTCCCAGACTGCATCCTGAATGAGCAGGGATGCTGGGGGTGTGCTCTGAGAGGGGCTCCAGCTGCCTTGAGTGTGTGTGGGATGAGAGCAATGGAGCAGTGTTGGATTGGAGTGAATTCCTGGTTGTGCAGCCCCTGTGGATCCACCACTGGAATCCTCAGGAGTGCAAACCTGAAGGAATGCTCCTGTGGTTAGGGAGGATGAAGGGAGCTGGGGCCACTGCTCTGCTCCCATCCTGGCTCCTGACCTCCTTTACATCTGAGTCCCAGTTTCTGAGCACCAGGCTGGTTATCCTGGCTCAGGATCTCGTGGGTGCTCTCACTGCCAGCCCTGTGCCAGGCAGAGCTGGCAATGGCAGCGAGATCCCTGAGCTGGAGATGCTTTGTCCCTGCTGTGGTTTGTGGGGAGCAGATCCAAGGGCCAGGCTGCCCCTTGGTGTGACAGCTGCCCTGTGCTGCTGTCCCTCAGTGCAAGTCACAAATCCCTGGCATTCTATTCCAGGCCTCCCAACCTTGCAGGTGGAGCTGGGACCTGCTGTGAAGGTGCCTCAGCTGGGGAGGAAACATTTCCTGAGCTGACAGGACAGGGGAGCAGCTTCAAGGTCAGCAGCAGCTCTGCAGCTCCTGAGGCTGGAGCTGGCTGTTCTGACAGTGCAGGGCACTCAGCAACTGCTCACTGAGGGAAACGTGGGGTAAAATCAGGGATAACTTCACCTGACGGGAATTGGGATGAGATTGGTGAATCAGTGATCGTTTCCAGAGGTTTGAGCACATCTGGTCCCACGGGATCAGCATCCCCAGGAGCAGAGGAGCTGTGCCAGTGCAGCTGTGCAGACACTGGGGTTCCACTGATGCTTTTCCACACAGCCACATCAGCCCTGCTCATTGCAAGGGGAGACCTGGGCCAGGGCTCATGGGATCCTTGAATAGGAGTTTCCCAGAGAATTTCATTGTCCAAGGCCAGGTTGGACAGGGCTTGGAGCACTCTGGGTTATGGAGGGTGTCCTTGCTCATGGCAAGGGGTGGAATGAGATGAGCTTTATCCCAAACCATCCTGAGATTCCTGGAGACTGGCATTTCACTTTGTTACCCAACCCTGGATTTTCCACTTGTGCACTTCTGGATGTATGAAATACAGAGCCCACCCCTGCTGAGTGCCAGGGATGTGTGTCATGGTATCAGAGCAGTGCTGTGCTCTGTGCTGTCTCCTCCCAGAGCTGCAGGACAGCTCAGAAGGGTGAGGCTGGCCCAGCTCAGTGCCATCCTCTCCATTAGGGCTGCTCCATTAGGCATGGAAGGAATGTCAGTTCTCCCCAGAAGCTGCGTGCTGTGTGCTGAGCCAGAACGGAGCAGAGGCAGGGAGCAAACCTGGCAACCTGTGTGAGGCTGTGCAGGAATCCCTTAGTGCAGAGAGGGCCTGGAACTGCATTCCCCACTGCTGGCCAGGGCCTGTGTCTCTGGGGTGTTGCTCCAGGTGGGCAGCAGCCCCATGGGGACAGCTGTGTCCCACACTGTGGGCAGGACAGGGCCCTGCTCTGCCAGTGACCAGGGTCAGAGTGGTGCCAGCCATGGCACCTTCCACACCCCCTGTGCCATCCCCTGGTGCTGCTCTGGCCCCGTGCTGCCAGCAGGTCCCTGTGCACCTGTGGCACCCAGGGCACAGGACAGGAGTGGCTGTGGCTGCCTGGGGACATTCTGGGGAGCTGCTGTCACACAGCAGGGTGGGCTCAGGGGTCTCTCCCTGTGCTGCTGTGAGCTGGGACATTGCAGCTCTTCTGTTTCACTGGGGCTTTGCTCTGCTTTCCGCTGCTCAGACAATTCCCCAGGGGAGTTCTCACGTTTTCCTTCTGCTGAGATTCCATCTCCAGTGTGAAAGTTGTTTTAATCACTCCATGGTGCAGTGGTCTGCTGCATTAATGACTTACCTGCTGCCAAAGCCACGTGAGATGCCAAGTGCTGTGCTTGTGGGGCTTCATCTGTCGAAAAAATCGGTGTCTTTGTCTCCTTAAAACCATTTGGGAGAGTTGTTGTCTCCATAAAACCCTGGTTTTGCTCTGAGTGGCTCAGCATGAAATGGAAGTTGCTGAGTTATGGATGTGTGTGATGCAGATGCTTTGAATTGAGGAAGGGGCTCATTTGCTTTATTCTTTTTATTCCCATTTCAGCATAAAAGAGAAAGGAGACTTTGGGGAAATGGAGATGTGAGGGGAAGCATCCCAGAAAGGCAGTGTGGAGAAAGCACATTTGCTGTGCCTGGAAGGAGGCGTGGCAGGGAAGGGAACAGATAATCCTTTTCCTTTGAAGATTTCAAAGCAGATGAGACTTGCTGTTTACTCCTTTGCTCTCCATTGTGTGTTTTCTTCATGTGGGACCTCACGTGTGCTCGTGTGTCTCGAGGATTTTATCATGTGGATGATTAATGGTGACTTTTTTTCCCCTCTTTATTTTCTGTCCTGGAGAGAGAGAGAGAGAGAGTACAGTGAAGGGTAGTAGACTACAAGTTGAGGTCACAGATCATATATTAATTTTCTGCCGTCTGAAGTCTCATAGGGATGAAAGATACTTTAAGGAACTGCTTTCATGGTGTTGAGAGTTTGTGTTGGTGCCCAGTGGCTTTGCTGAGCTTTTAGAGCTCCTCTCTCCAGCACACCTTTGTGCATGGAGCTGGTGCAAGAGGCACTGAGAGGACCAAGGTTTCTCTGGCAGAGAGCTGGCACTTTTCCAAAGGGCTGGAAGAACACACTTGTGTTTATCCTTTGTTGTAACCTTCCATCTGTTTCCACCTTCAAAGCCCTCTGTGTCCTTTATGCTCAGGTCTTGTACTCTGGAGGGATTGTGTGCTGGGGGTGGCTGAGGGCTGCAGGTCCCTGAGGGTCTCAGGCACTGCACACACAGAGGGAAATGAGCTGCACTGAACACGAGATACGTGGTGGGAGCATCTTCTGAACAAAGCCAGAATCCCTTTCATCCCCTCACAAAAGCAAGGGGAATTTCTGCTTTTCTGGTGGCACAACAAACAGCAAGTGCCAAGGCTGTAGTGGTGAGGCTGAATGAAGAGGGCAGTGAAGCTCAGACATGGTTTTGATGTAGTTTGGGTCACTTTGGGTGGGTTTTGCAGCATTTCTAGCAGTGCATTCAGCTCACACCTCCATCAGGAGTTCAGAGTGTTGCTGTTTGCTGTCCATGGTTACATCTGTCTTTGTGTTTCAGCTCTGTTTCCTTTAGTGCAGAGGGGTGTAAGTGCCCCTCCCTGCCCTTGGCCTCTGAGGTGGCCTCTGGGCTCCTCACTGGTCCAACAGCAGCGTCCTGGGCCACCCTGAACCTCTTCTGTGTGGGCTGTGCTGGGTCCCTGGATGGACCCTCCTGGTGGTTGTGTCCCTCCCAATGGGTGTAGGGCTGTTGGCCCCAATGATCCTGCTGCAGTCCCTGCCCAGGGTGGGTTTGTGTCCTGGTTTGACAGACAGGTGTCTGCCAAGAAAGGCAGGAGCCTCTCTTGAAATGGAGAATGTAAACCCCCTCCCTCCAAATTATTATAATTCTGAAGTTAAGGGGCTCTCAGGCAAAGATATGGGAATAGGAATAACAGTTCTTTACTAGGAAAATTAAAATAGAAATCCAGTATTACAGAGAACAAACCCAAAACACTGCCAGAGTCAGAATCCAAGCTGCCCCCGTCAGTCAGTCAGGGGTTGGTGCAGTGCCATTCCATGGTGGCTGCATCCTCCTGCAGTGACAGATGTGGTTCTGCTGGAGCAGGGCTCCTGCACAAGGAGCAGTTTTCCTCCAAAGCTCCAGGGATGATGTGCAAGGCTCTGGTTTTCCTCTGGGATCCAGTGGGAAAAGGCTGCTCTGCTGTTCCAAATCTCACCTTTGATCTGGGTAGGAAATGTTTGGCTCCTCCTCCTGGCTGGAGCATCTCCCAATGGGATGATGGAATTTGATCAGCCCTGCCCTGGGACTGCATGGCCATGAACAGGAGAGATCTCCTGGAGGGAGGATGGGCTGTGGAAAGATAAAGAACACTGCCCCAGCTGGGTTAACACATGGCCCATGAGCAGAGGATATCTGCACAGAGATCAGGATCACTGCCCCAGCTGGGTTAACACATGGGGACAGAATACAAACTGCTGTCACATCCTGTGCTGTAACCTCAGACAGTTTGTGTCAGGTGGGAGCTGTGTCCCTGTCCCACTCTGTGTCCTTGTCCCCAGAGGAGCTGAAGGCGCCGCTGGAGGAGTACGTCAACAAACGCTACCCGGGGCTGGTGAAGGTGGTGAGGAACCAGAAGAGGGAAGGGCTGATCCGGGCCCGCATCGAGGGCTGGAAGGCGGCCACGGGCCAGGTCACCGGGTTCTTTGATGCCCACGTGGAGTTCACTGCTGGCTGGTAAGTGCAGGGACTGGGTCACTGGTGTGGTCACTG